AAAAAATTGCGCAGCCTGCATTGCATGGCATGCGCTATTCAAACATTGAAATTCTGAGAGTCTAAGGGCAAGTGGGGAAGGGACAGAGGATCAGTGACTGTTCAGATGCTAGGGCCTGCAGCCACTGGCAGGCCGGGGGCCAGCAATGCCACTGGCTTTTAACCAGCGGTGGGGAGGAGAGCAAGTTCATCTTAAATTCCAAAGAAACAAACCTGTAGTCCACAGTTGAGTAGGGGCGGGGATCGGCTTCTTTTATTTCTATGATTAACCTAACTATACTTCCATGTTTCTAGATTCAAATACCTGAAATCTTTGTTTACTTCCTCTATGCTTTTCTCTTCTTTGCAGTCTCACCTGTTAAATTATGTTTGTTTCTTAGTACCATTTTTTTTTTTGAGAGGCTTTTGCTATAGGGCGCGTGTGCTTGCCAGACAGACAGAGACAGAGAGACAGAAAGTGAGAAATCACCCCCCAGGGAGGATGGCCACACTGCAATCCCTTCTCCTTCATTCTCCTCTCGGGATGTTGGGCACACACGCACATGTGCCCAGTGTGAGTTTTAAATCACTGGATCTGGAACTCGAACCATGGTAGACTACATGGGAGTCCAGCGACATAGCTATTATGCTAACTGCTGGTCCCAGTACATTTTCTTTTACATTTATTCCTTTTTTCCCCCCAGGACCAGGATTTTAAATAGCTTTATTAAACTCCACCTCTGTATCTATCCAACTGACTTCTCTTTGCTTGTTGTCTTGCTTTCTTCCTGTTTTTTTCTGTATTCTGCTGCCACTTTCATAATATCATAATATCTGATTATAGATATATCTGTCCATGCCACTTCTCTGAAAACTCATTGATTTGATCAGCCTAGATCTGTTTTCAGAGCATATACCATACTTTCCTGACTGTGTACCTTTAAGTATGCCATTCCCATTCTTTCATATACTCCCTCTTCTCTGTCCATGAAAATCTTAATATTTTTTCCATCTTAATAAAATTACTTTTTTTTTTTTTTTTGGTAAAATCATTCCGGATCACTCTTTGACATGTAGTATCCTCTTCCTTTTCTGACATCATAGGCCTTCTTATGAGGATGACAATGTCATTTATTTCTGTGTAGATATTATGTTGTTATCTTGTGTTGTAAATCTGGTTATCTAATATTCTTGTATTCATGACCTATGACTACTACTTCATCATATGCTTCTTAAAGTGTATGATCCAGCCTTCTAGCTTTTTTTTAATGGATATTAGCACATTGCTTTACACAGTACATGGCATGCAGATATAGTTGATGAATAATTCAGTTTTTAGTACTATTATTACTTCTTTTTCATCAAAGCCGCCCTAGGGATTAAAGAGCTCTTAATAAGGTAACTAGGGCTCAGTGAGATACTTCATGTTGACCTATCTAAAACCTTCTTGATTTTACAGTCTGTGGCCACATATCCCTTTATCTTTCCACAAGGACTAGTTTTAATCTTTTTAGTCCATATTTCCAGGCAGACACTGTCACCCATGATAATTTTATTGCCTTCCCTAGATCTTCCCTGGCTGTCATTTTTCTTCCCTAAGATACAAATCATTATTGCACTCAGTATTACAGGTCCAATTAATTAATAAATATTATAGCCTTTCAAAAGCAAATTTAGCTTGGGTTCATTAATTTTGTCTTTGAGTCACTTTCAGGTTCTGACAGTCTTTTATAGTTTTTAAGACTATAAACAAAGTTGAGGGGAGGGATAGAGAGAATCTTGGCATTTCAGTCACATCATTTTGTGTTGAATGAAACTGGATGTGAGTTTTTCAGGTGTACTAGTTTTTGTTTGTTTGTTTGTTTTTTTCTTTGCCGGAGGGCGTGTGTACTCACTGGAGAGAGATAGAAAGAAAGATGGAAAGCACTCCTCTGTGGAGAGTGGTCATGCCATAATCTCTTTATCTCTTCCTCCTTTCAGGATTTTAGTTTTGCACACACACCTGTGTTTTTTTTGTTTTTTGGGTTTTTTTTTTTTTTTGAGAAGTTTTTGCTATAGGGCGCATGTGCTCCCCAGACAGAGAGAGACAGCAAGACAGAAAGCGAGAAATCACCCCCCGGGGGGATGGCCACACTGCAATCCCTTCTCCTCCATTCTCCTCCCGGGATCTTGGGCACGCACGCACACGCACCCAGCGTGAGTTTAAGCCACTGGGTCCAGGACGCGAACCACAGTCGACTACATGGGAGTCCAGCAACATAGCCATTACACTAAGTGCTGGTCCCACACACCTGTGTTTTTCAAGCCACCAGGTCTAGGACTCAAATCATGCAGTTGGCTATGTGGATCTAGCTGCCATAACCACCACACCGTGGGCTGTCCCCAGGCTGGTATTTA